AACTTAATTTAATTAGAAAAATATAAACAAATGGACAAGAAAAACCCAGGTTATTAACCTACTAAATACAGTGTTCCAACAGCAGCACCCACAGCCCTACTTTGACCTGCTGATTTCCTTATTCACATTGAGAATGCTGTAAGCAAATTACTTGTTTCCAGTTCAATCCATTTGAAACCGTACCTAGAACTCTTTAATTTATTATCTACCTAAGTCCGTCTTTAAGATTTCGAGGCACTTCTGTTAAATTGCACAGATCCAAAAAAACTAAAACTGTAACAGGAGCTTTATTTAATATAAGAGATGTAAGAATAATTATACCAGATTATCAAAGCCAAGGAATAAAATAATTAAAATATCCGAGTTTTTATGAAGGAAGAGGTAAAATGGAAAGAAAATTTTTTTCGACTACTCTTCTTGTAGAAGACTAACATCTAGAACATACAAAGGACTAAAACTATCACCCCAAAATCAATAATCCACTCCAAAAAAATGGGCAAATGAAAGAAATTTTTCTTAAAAGAAGTACAAATGGCTAATAAGCATATGAGAAAATGTTCTTCCTCTTTAGTCACTAGGGACATGCAAATTCAAACAACTCTGAGATTCCATCTCTCTCTAATCAGAATTGCCTTCGTGAAGAATACATGTAAAAATCAAGTTCTGGCAAGGCTGGGGGAAACGAAATCCTTCTACCATTGTTGGTGGGAAGGTGAACTAGTACAATCACTATGAAAATCAGTGTGGAGATTACTCAGAAAACTAAAACTAGAGATTCCATTAAACACAGCTATCTCCCTCTTAGGTATCTTTCCAGAAGAGTAAAGTCATCATATTACAGTGATACACACATACTCATGTTCGTAGCAGTACGATTCACAATAGTTAAAATGTGAAAACAGCCTAGATCCCCATCAATGGGCAAAGGGATAAAGAAAGTATGGTGTATACATACACAGTAGAATCCTATTCAGCCATAAAGAAGGATGAATTAAAGTCATCCATACGATAGGAAAATAGATGAATCTCGAAACCATGTTAAGTGAAATAAATCAGACTCAAAGACTTAAATATCACTTGGTTTCTTTCATTTAAGAAGTCTAATTATAAATCAAGAGCAAAGTAAAAGTGAAGAATTAAAAATGATTAAGACATAGAGAGCTCCTGAAACAAATGTAAATTGAATGTGTTTAAAATATATATCAATTAAAGTAATAATAATACATTTTTGAAAAAGGCCAAGGATGTAGTTCAATGAAAGGCCTTGGGTTCAATCCCTACTATGAGAGAGAAAGAAGGGAGGGGAGGTGGGAGGGAGTGGAGGGAGGGAAGGGGAGAGAAAGGAGAGAAGAGAGAAGAGAGAGAGAAGTCAAATGTATTTTGTTTTTAATTGCAAGGAGGCTTTCCCCCAGCCATACTGGAGATTTAATCCAGGCCCTTCACACTGAGCTACATTGCTAGTTTTTATCTTTCTGTTTTGAGAACGTATCAAGTTGTCCAAGCTGAGCTCAAGTTTACCTCCCAGAGTTCTGGGATTTTAGGCCTAAGCCACCACCCCTGGCCTCAGACTCTACAAAAATGATGCATTATGATGAAAAGCACTTTTGTGAATTCCTTTGGCAAAACTGCCCTTGTGTGCTGTTGCATCTCATAAGAACATGTTCTGCACACTGCCAGGGCCCCAGGAGGTCTGAACCCATCCCCTTTGTGCTGTGCTTGCATCCTGCTATAGTCAGTCAGATGCTCAACATAAGGAGAGGCAGCAGGTCTCCTCCAAAAGTGTACATGCTCCCTGTTTCCCTGGCTCAGGGGACAAAGCAGCTGCAGGTACAGTAGGAAATCCATGGTGCAGAGGATCCAAGGGTCCTTCTGTACACAAAGGGATCCCTGCACGTGACTTCTGGACAAATGCATTCACAGTCAAATGCCCTGAAGAACACATGCGTGTGCTCACCAGTGACTCAGGGATGGAGAGTGAAAGTGGAGAGCGAGAGGAGAAGGGCTGAAGAAAGGACACTTGGCACAACTTGTCACATCCATCCAGGGGACCCCACACAGCCGAGGCACCTCTTACTTACATGGCCATGTTGATCCAGTTCATTGTTGGTGAGTTTCACTTTCTCAAAGGACACCATCTGTTTGAGTAGCTGCTCACCAGTGAATGGGGAGTCGGGATGCACATAGAGCCTAAGGAAATTATGAGAAAATTGTGTCTTTTTTTAAAGCCTATCTCTGAATTATAAAATACGCTGATTCTAAAGAAACATAGTAGCCTCTCAGACACAATCCATTCTATTTGCAATGCCCAAGTAACTTGGAAACTTCTAAGGTACTTCTTCACGTACCAATGATCTAAAAGGGGTAAAACTTAATAGATCGACTGTGTGCTGGGTAAGCCAGTTTTTATAGATGGGTTGTTTATTTCATCTATGTAGTTAGTTACTATTCTGTGTCTTCCAAATATAAAAGAATCTCATGATTGTAGCTATTCATCAAGGAAAGTGTAGGCTACACTAATTGCATGAGTTCCTGTCATAGGTATCAGTGAAGAGCAACGCAAACAAAAGCTGAAAGGACGTAATTTTAGAGCACACATTTGTCTAAGCTTAAGTCACTCGGTTTCAAGTATGTATTTTTCACAAATATAAAACAAACTTATTTTAGCACAGCTACATGGAGATTTTCCCCCTGGTTCTGAGAGTTGAACTCAGGGCCTTTACACTTGAAATAGATCCCAATTCATTGTTTTATTTTCTACTTTGAGACAGGGTCTTACCAAGTCACTAAGGTGCCCAGGCTGGTTAAATTTGCCACCCTCCTGCCTCAGCCTCCCGGAGTGGTAGGATTACAGGTGTGCACCACCAGGCCCAGATCAGGGGAATGTTCAATAACCACCGACCCAAGGTGAGAGTTTCTTGCTCCTCCTGGTACTTTAAGCACTACCACATATTCTTATCATATCAATTGATACTCACTAAGTAAGCATTTAAGGCTGGACAAGCTTTGATTTATTCAATTGATTTATTTATCAACAATTTATGCAAAAAAAATCTTCCCATCCTTTATGGATCTGTTGCTATGTGCAAGAGACAGTTTTACTCACTGCAAAGCATAGACCATTGTTTTTCCTGTGACTGTCCCCTTAAATACAGCTCTTTGTAAATCCTAATACTAGTATCTTCTTGATACAATCTTTCCAAAATAAGAGGGAAATTACAGAAGTAACAAAGTGAAATCCTTGTTTTAGTAGAACAAGCCCCTGCCTTATTTTCTCTGGTGCTGGAGACTGAAGCCAGGGTCTCATGCATACCAAGCACATATACTACCCCTGAGCTCCATGCCAGCTCTGACAAATTCCTTTATCAGTATAACAGGTCATGCATATGTATAGCTTGTATAGGATCCTTATAGCTATAATTAAGTATAAATGTTTGGTTGGGACAAAACCAAAGGGAAAATTCAGAAAAAACTTTCCTTGTAAAGTCTGCACTGTGGTTTGTCACAAGAAAGGATTCAGCTCAGAGGAATTGCACCTCAGGGGTGCAAGCACCAAGACCGGCAGGGGGAAAGCACAGAGTGGGCAGGCAGCACTCACAGATCTGAGCAGACCAGCAGAAGACCAGACACTGCTGGGCTCTGGCCTGCTTGCTGGTTCTCCTGGTTTATGTGGAGAGTACATAATGTCTTTTCCACAAGAAAAATTTTTGATAGTATGATAGCTTCTCAAGTTTCACCCATCTAAAGTTGTTGTTTCATTTTTAATTACTAAATTATATACACTGGTAATATATAAAAAAATACATTCATGGTGGAGAACTGGTACATAGATCTATCACATCCTGATCTTTTTTACTTTCCTTTTACTTTCCTGATCTTTTTTACTTTCCTTCTCTCCTCCCTCTCATCTCCTTCTCATTCCAAGACCTCCTTCCCATTTCCACAAAGTCTGTCTTAAGAAGAAAAGGGGAAAAAAATTTTCAGGTAATAAAAAAGTTGTAATTTTGGGGAGCCTTGTGTTGACCTATACCACATCCCACTTCCCCTCCAGTGTCTAAAATCACAGGAAGTCTTATTCTTTTTTTTTTTTTTTGTGGAACCGGGGATTGAACTCAGACCCTTGCACTTTCCAATGAAGCACTTATTCTACTGAGCCATCTCCCCGGCCCCAAGTCCTATTCTTGATGAAATGCTCTGTCTTAAGACAGTCCCTACATGTAATCACATTAAGAAAAATAACATTTAAATATCAATTACTTTAAAGAAAAGGAGATGTCCTATACGAACATGTAACATGATTTTAGGTCATGAAAAATATCTTGTCCCTTGTTATTCAAATAATGTTGCCAAGCATTTTCCTTCCGGTTGGAAAAGACTGATGAGCAAATCTCAATCTAGGGTAAAGAGCTTCAAAGACCTGGACGTACAAGGAATTTCTACCATGCTACATAAAATCTCAAATCCCACGCTCTTCCCCTTTCTTTTACGGAGATAGAAAATATTGTGATTTTCATACATTAACAATAAAAGTTACAGTTGTTTAAATACTCTAGAACATTTCTACCCCATCATGCATTGCATGTATTTTTATCTAACATTGATATAAACAAGCTGAACTAGAATAAATGAGAAAACACACAGGAAGCTCCTCTTCTCTCAAGCCCCAATTTCACCCCCACCCCGGACTTAAAATTCCAGCAATAGCTCAAACATGCTTCAGCTGAGATAGTGCATTGGTACACGCTTTCTTTCTGGAACCAGAGCAGATTAGTAACATAAACAAGACATGTCATATTTCCAAAGTCTGCTGCCTGCACTGTTTCCCATACCTTCAGATAGGCGAAAATGTATGTTAAATAGGAGCGATTCACTTCTTAGGAGAGAGCCTGGGGAAATAACAACAAAAAGCAGTGCTTGCTCACAAAAAGGGTGAGGGATCTGCTAGAATGCTCCTGCCCCTCCCTGTCTCCCTTTCTTTTCTCTGGTCTAAAATAGTATTGAAAAGTTAAGAAAGAAACTCCAGAAGAACCAGTAAGCTGGCTATGAAATAGGTTACTTAAAAAATGACACTAATTTTATCAGTTTGATTTCTGCTGTGAACTGCTATATCTTGCTCCAAACAAATGACTTGTGCCTGGATATGGTGGCACACGCCTGTAATCCCAACACTCTGGGAGGATGAGGCAGGAGGATGAAAAATTCAGACCTAGCCAGGGCTATTTAGCAACTCAGTGTGACTATGTCACAAAATTAGAAAATTAAATAAGAAAGAGAGCTGTGGATACAGTTCAGTGCAAAGACCCTGGGTTCAATCCCCAGCACAGCTGAACTAACTTTATAAATTATACTTCTTCTTACTTAAGTTATACTTGTTCTTATTTACTAAATAAATAAATGAGTTGAAATTTTAAAAATATTTTTTAGTCCTGTTACTCAATACTGATTTGGAAAGGTTACACAGATAACCTTCAGTTGAGAACAGAAAACTGAAAGGTAGCTGTTCTTCTCTTGTCTACTGTATTCGGTATACTATAAGCTCAATAATGTGACCAAGAAGGTAAGCTGAATATTCTAGCTGGTGGATGTATAAATGATGCTGATTCTGCACCTTCCTAAGACTCCAGACTAGAAACAAAGAACCAGCCATAGCTTCAAAGAAGTCTGCACATTGAAATATATATATATTTCACTATACAGCTAGAACTCATAGTGATCCTCCTGTTTTCAGCCTCTCCAGAGCTGGGATTACAGGCATGTGCCACCATGCCCAGACTTATTCTCTTGCATATTAAAGTTTGTGGTTAGACTGCTGCCTCTGCAGCTCACATGCTCTATGTGCCGTTCATTATGAAAACCCCAGAATGCCACTTGGACAAAGCAGCAGCAACTGAGGTTTGTATAGGATTTTGCTTTTAAACGAAGAAATCTCAGAAAAACACTGTAGGCAAAAACTGCCACAAAATAACCATGTATCATATCTAATAGATTATGTTTCACATAAAAGAGTATTAACTTGTTGGACTGCATTCATCCACTGAAGTTGTAGTGAGGGAAATTTTTTTTCTTTTCTTAAAATCCTTTACTTGTTTAAAAATAGCGCATTTTACCAAATGATGCTTATTTTGTGCATATAGGATGCACTGAAAGCAAAGTTAAAGATTTACTGTAATCATCCACGATGCTAAAATATATTCCTTTAGGGCCAGGGCTATAGCTCAGCTGCACAGCATCTGCCTGGCAAATGTGAGGTCCTCAGTTTGATTTCCAGTTCCAAAATAAATAAATAAAATACATTTTTCTAAAAAAGGATTTGAGGGCAACTCAAAAAAATTTGAGGGCACTTAGTCTGGTTTTAAGTAACCAGTTAGAAATTTTATAGACATCAAGAGGTCCACATTTCTAAAGGATTTCCAAACTAAAATACAAGGAAATCTCTAAAATAAATTTTGAAGGAAGACCAAATGAAAGACAAATTGAAAGGCACAAACTCGCCTTTCAGGAGACTAACCCACTATTTTGTATTCAATCCTGAAGTGTCAGAGGCCTGGAAAGCGCAGGACAGAGCCTGCTGCTTTAAACACAAACCACGGGTTCGGAATTCACAAAGGAAAAATGCATTTGTTTGGGGCAGAGATCAGCACGAACCTGGCAGGCAGCGGGGGGTCGGCCTTGCCAGCCACCAGCCAGGAGGAGCGGTGGTAGGCGTAGCGGTACCTCTTGTTGTCCACTGGCACGATGTCCATAAGCACAATGTACTTGGCCTCAGGATCCACGCCTGAAAATGACACCCGGATGGTAGGAAACATCCTCCTGGTAAAGAGAAAGAGAGACCAGGGGGAAGCAGAGGTGGGTGGGGTGAGGAGGCAGTGTAGGGAAAGGGAGAGGGCCTAGCCCCAGCTGAGGCAGTAGGCACTAGATCTACTCCCTTCCTTCCCTACCTTCTTACTCTCCCCCAGAAACCCCCTTTGATTTCTTGAAAAGGCACAGAGAGGCCAATACAGAGACCAGACTTCTTTCCAAAGGCATATGCTTGTTTTTGCAGTACCGGGGATTGAACTCAGGACCCTGCACTTCCCAGGCAAGCACTTATTCTACTAAGCTATCTCTCCAGCTCCCAAAGGCATATAATTTTAAGCACCAAGACCTCACGGCCAGGGAGAGTGCCCTGTTCTTGTCATCCCAAAATCTGAAACTCTGTAATCAGATCAAGGCATCAAGGACTTCATTCTCTGGAGGACCTAATGTAGCCAGACCTGCCACAGTTCTGCAACACACAGGCTACGTGGGGGAGTGGGGATTCCTGGACCGGGTCTGGGAGACCCTGTGGCCATTGCCTGTCCTGGGAGCTGGAAGAACCGAGTTCAAGGCCACTGGCTTTGGGGGCCTTTACAGCTTCCACATGGCTTCCCACTGGATCCACCCAGCCAGAGCCAAGGTACAACACTTTCAATTAAACTCTTAGCTTTTATAGTTCATTTTTCAGATTTAAATTTTCATTTTTAATGAAAGCTGCAGCTTCTGCTGCACCGAATTAAAGAGGAGTTACTTCCTTCCTTGGAAGAACCCAGAGACCCTGCATCTAGCACCCCTGGAATTCTGACCCAACGCCCAATGCCTCCTGGAGGACAGGGACAGGAGACCCAAAGTCTCCTGTCCTAGTGTCTTCTTCTTTCCAGGCAGGTGGGGCTCTCTGTGGCCACAGCCCTGGAACACAGACAAGCCATTTCTGAAGCTTTTCCCAAAGCCTCTGTGCCTTACCTGCCAGCCCTCCTGTCCATTTGCCAGAAGTGCCCCAGCACCTCCACAGCTCCTTATTCTCACGCCCCACCCTCCAATGCCCAGCTACCTGCCAGACTTAGTGATGATCATCTCTGTGCCCAGCTCATGGAATTTGTCCCACAGCTCCTTGGTCTCCAGGTTGCAGGTGATCTTGGCCATTTCCTCACTGGGGATGATGGGGGTGGTGGGGATCAGAGGCTCAGTGCACAGTGAGGAGGAGGCTGGGCTGCTGCTGCCTCCCCTGGTGAATTCGCCCTGAGCATCCAGGCTGGTCAGCTCGCCCAGGGGCTGGGCACAGGAGGACTTCTCTACAAATTGCTCTGCAGGGGTAAAGAAAAGGGACAATTACACTGCCCACCATCAACAAAGAAAAGAATTAGGGAAGAAAGCTGATCAGGAAAAAGAAAAAAAGAGAGAGAGAGGGAACCTGAATTGGGCTCTGGGAAAGTGGTACTCAGAAACTCCAGGATACTGGCCAGGACCTAGCACTGGGGAAAAGCCTGCGGGCAGCTCTTGGAGTGAAAGGGTGCCCTGCTTGGCAACTTACCTGACCAAACAGGTCAGTTCTAGAACCACAGTTGACTACTTAGGGTATGACCAAGAACTCACCCAGAGTCACATAATGAGGAATAAAGAGAGTGACAGTGATCCCCAAACACAAAGCACAAATATTCCTATGGGTTTTCTCTCTCACATTCACACCTTGCAGCCTCTGGCCAGTCTTGCCTCTGTGACAACCAGATTTTTCTTCACTAAGTCTAAGGGATCAAACACCTTCAGAAGCCTCTTACACTCCCACTCTGAGTGGGGCTTCCACACTCTCAACAGAGCGCTCCTCTACCCGTAACAGAAAAAGGAAAGCAGCAGGGAATGGAAGAAAGGCGGGGACTTGGCTCAAAAATAGTAAGTCACTTCACCTGCATAGAGAGATTAGAGCAACTCCACAGCACCCCGCCCAGCCTGAGATCTCACGACAGACTCCAGCATCCAGCTTGCTAAGTCACAGAAGAAGACTCTTTGGAGCATTTAAAAATAATAATTTCATAAAACAATTACAGGGTGTTTGTAAATCGTTTCTTCCCAAAAAGGCCCCAGAAGTGAGGAAAACCATTTTGACCCCAGGATAGCAGGGAATGAAGGTGGGAAGAGCAGTTTGCACCCACCAGCAGGTTAGACCACCAGTGCCTAGGAGCCCAAGGCCCTCTGCCAGCTGATAAGGCCCCACTGCCCCAGTCACTCTGATGGAGCACAGGGGGACTTTTGTAATTGGCCCAATTTTCTCCCATCCCTTAAAAAATAAACTACTTGAATTGGCCATGCGAAGCCATTTCCAAACAACTGTGCTGGCCTTCTGTGCCTCCTCCAGGGCTGGATGTTGGCGCGCACTCATGTCTGATGTACGTGGGCTGCGACACGTTCATACCACGTTAAGACCTCTGCTCACACCTCACACCTCTCCTTCAGGTCTGGCAAACAGGAAATTACCTCAATACAATGATAATTAGCTCAGAGAAATGCTTTGAATTAACAGTGATCAAATCAGTTGTCATGCTGATTGTTTGAAATTCAGAGAGCGAGAGAGAACCAGGCCTTGGCAAAATCATATTTTCATGTAACAGTTTCAGGAACATTCACAAAATGTCTCTACAAGGATTGAAAAAGTAACCTTGACATTTTTTTTTTCCAACTGAAAAAGGAAAACTTCTTCAAGTACAGGCTCCCCAGAGCATCGCGGGAGGAGAAGGAGAACGCCTCAGAGCTGTTCCTCGTGCTTTCCAGGACATGCCTGTCTATGTGGCCAGGCATGGGCACCTTGGCTGCCCGCTCCCCACACAACACTGCACTCCTGACAGACCTTCCTGTATTTGTCTTGCAGTGACTAACTACGTCCGGTTGAACTGTCCCCTGTAAGACCAGACCACAGGCCTTTCCCGAAGGCCAGGAAAAAGATGCTCATTTTACAGATTATGGGGCCACGAGGGAGGCTGGAGGGG